AAGTCACCCACCCATACATCTTAGTAATCTCGACATCACTCAGGAGTGTTAGAAGTGAAACCTCTCATTCAAATGCAGCGATGCTTTTGTGGGCCTAATAGGAGCAGTAAAAAAAAATAAAGAATGAGGCTTCAAGTTATGGTATAGACTCTGCATATTTGAAATATGTTGTTTATTCTCTGTTACATATGTCCCTTGATACTATGTTGCCTTTAGGGTGTTGTCAAGGAGAAGGGACAGGACACTGCACGTCAATGAATTTCTAGGATTAGGAAAGAACTTTTTATCAAATAACTGATTTAATTCCTCCATGGGAAGGTAGTGCTAACACCTCAATTATATCAGAATATATATAAATATATATTGTATAAATAAATAAATAATATATATATAAATAAAATTACATATAGTTGAGCACTTACCTCTTGGAAGGTAAAGCATTAAATTGTCAATAAAATGTTTAGTATAATGCATAGAACAAGGTAATTATTCTTCTATCTTTTCCTTTAGACCAACTCTCTACCATGGGTATGAATGCTTCTGTTTTAGACCTGAAAATCCAAACCTGTACTCTAATGACTATTCTACCAGCATTAGGATTTTTAAGTAGAGAGTCTATGAAATCTCTTTGGCACTGAATGGTTGAAATGTGTCCATAAAGGATGGACAACCGTACGGCACTCCATCTTCTGCCTTCCCTGGATATATCCTTATGCCAACACCATCATGGACCCTGATACAGCTTCAGAAATGGAGAATCTCCTTACAGAAATTTATCCATCCAACTAAGAACCTACAATGGAGTGTGCTATCTCTGTATGGCCGCGGTACCTGGGCAAGACGATGGTAAAAGGACAAGACCTGTAATTTAGATAGCTTCTCTCAGATAATATATGTGTTTTCTCCTTTAAAAAGCTGTATCTTCCCATTTCTAGTATTTAACGTTAGAACAAAATGCTTGCATTTGTATTTTTGTATCAGCCTTAACACTCCCTTTTCATGGATGCTTATACGTTACAATTTACAGTTAATACAGCAGTTCTCAAGTGTTAGTGTACATTGTAAGCACATGGGAAATTGGTTTAAAGTGCCAGTTGTCCAAGCTTAGTTCCAGACTTACTCAAGCAGACTCTTTAGATGTGTTAAAAACAACAACAACAACAACAATAATTCTGACTTTGATGACCACTGTTGGCTTAATCGACCTGAACTTTTCTTTAAAATTTACCCTAACTTCAGTTTTGGAGTCAGATACATCCTATGACTGGACTAGAATCTGGTTATCTAAGTTTGTGCCACTTCTGAGAATTGTTAAGTCCTTTGTCTGCCTGCAACCTAAGCAATGAGTTCATTTGCTTTATAATTTTGGGATTATTAGAGGTATGGCTTTCTGGTCTACCTCTCAGTGAAAGGGTTGACTATTGCACATGTCATGCCTTGTGTGCACTGGGGAAGAAATAATGAGCATGCACATGGTGACTCTGTGGTCCCCGATGTCCATGACAGGGGCATGAAGTCAAGGAGCAAAATGCCAAAAACTAGCAAGTGTCTCAAACTAGTAATTGATCATATTTAAGAAATAGTTATCAGAATTCCAAAGCATGCCAAAGTCAAAAACTCCAGAGATACCACTTCAGCAAGTAGAACAGACATGTGCCTGTGAAAAATCCTGTCCTATATTAGACACACCCATGCAGATGTTTCCACTTCTTGGATGACTTAAAGATCTCAAGAACCTTCTGAAAAATGTGTGACTTTCTTTCCTTTGAAAAGAATATATGAGTTGGGGTAATGTTAACTGTTGTAATAAATACTAACAAAATTTCAGTGCCTTGAGACAACAGAAATAAAACGTCTGGCCCCTGAAACAGTACAATATGGATAGTCCTGGTCAACAGGTGACTTTTCTTTGGGCAATGATTATGAGAATCAGGCTCCTTACAACTTGTGGTTTCACCATCCCTTTGACCTCAGGCTCCTTGGGAAACAGCTGATGGAAGGGGAAATAGAGGATGAAGACAGCATACCCACTTCCTAAATGTTTCTGCCCCAAAGTAACAAGCAGCACATCTGCTCATTTATCTTTGGCAAGGCTTGGTCACATGGCCTCATCTAGATTCAAGAGGTCAGGCAACTGGGGCCGGTGGCCCTTGGGCCGTCCCCCATCCCTAGAAAGAGCAGGCTGCCCCGAGGAGGTGGCTTGGCCACTGGCAGTTTTGCAGATTAGTGAGGGAATGAGAAGAGCAAACAGCCATCTCTTCCCCGCGCCAAAGTGTGTTCGCTTTCCTGCTGGGGCTTTTGAGAATCTCAAGGCAATCTTGCAAGACAAATATTTTGGAGTTCATTGGCATCACAACTTGAGTTCCAGCCGTGATGTAACTGTAGCTGTGTCCTAGCAGTGTGACCTTGGGTATTTAAACTGGCCAAAGACAACTTCAGACCTGTCTAATGTAACAGAAAAGGTCAGAAAACATTAAGCAGTAGAAGAGTAGCATATATATTAAGCAAGATGAACGTCTCAGGAAGCAGTTGTAGAAGCCCTAGTTCTGCAGATGTATCTAATGACTTTAAGGATCTTTGGGTGAAACTAAAGGAGTATCATGATAAAGAAGTACAAGGTTTACAAGTAAAAGTAACCAAACTGAAAAAGGAACGAATTTTAGGACACGGGTTTGATCCCTGGTTGGGGAACTAAGATCCCACATGCCACGGGGCAACTAAGCTTATGCACTGCAACTACTGAGCCCATGCACCACAGCTAGAGAGCCTGCGTGCCGCAACTACAGAGCTCAAGTGCTCTGGAGCCCACACACCTCAACTACTGAGCCCTTGCACCACAACTAGAGAGCGTGCACACCACAACTACTGAGCCTGCGCGCCACAATGAAGAGCTCATGCGCCACAACTAAGACCTGATGCAGCCAAAAATAATAAAAATTAAAAAAAAAAAGAGGGCAGGCAACTATAATCCCTGATTGAGCATCCACTTTCCAGCATCAACTCTATTGCAAAGCTGAAATTTTTATTCTTTCTTGGGTAGTTTCAAATGTTAAGACTCGCCTCAATATGAAATTCCCTTTTATATGCATGTAATGTATTTGTTCTCAGTAATGATGGAAAGATAGCCAAGAAGGTCTTTCTCCTAAACCATCTCTGTCTGAACGAACCCAGCCTTGTCTTAGTAGCCATTTAGCCACTGTCTTCTCTCAGATGTACTACTTGAAATTTTATTATAAAATGAATTCACTTAAAAACAGCTGCCCCAATTAAGATTTAATTTTTCTTTGTTTTTAATTTTTTAATTGAAGTATAGTTGATTTACAATATTATATTAGTTTCAAGTGTTCAGCATAGTGATTCAGTATTCTTACAGATCATACTCCATTAAGTTATTAAAAAATAATAGCTATAATTCTCTGCCATACAGTATGTCCTTGTTGCTTATCTATTTTATACATAGTAGTTTGTATCTCTTAATTCCATCCCCCTATGTTGCCCCTCTTCCCTTCCCTCTCACCACTGGTAACTACTAGTTTGTTTTCTATATCTGTGAGTTTGTTTCTGTTTTGCTATATATGTTTGTTTGTTTTAATTTTTAGATGCCACATATAAGTGATATCATAAAGTATTTGTCTTTCTCTGTCTGATTTATGTCACCAAGCATATTGTTCTCTAGGTCCATCTATATTGCTGCAGATGGCAGAATTTCATTCTTTTTTATGGATGAGTAATATTTCATATATGCCATGTCTTCTTTATCTGTTCATCTGTTGATGGATACTTGGGTTGCTTCCATATCTTTGCTATTGTAAATAGTGCTGCTGTGAACATTGGTGTGCACGTATCTTTCCGAATTAGAGTTTTCATCTTTTCCAGATATATGCCCAGGAGTGGGATTGCTTTATCATATAGTAACTCTAGTTTTCTTAAGGAACCTCCATACTGTTTTCCATAGTGGCTGCACCAGTTTACATTCCCATCAACAGTGTAGGAAAGTTCCTTTTAGTCCACACCCTCTCCAACATTTGTTATTTGTACATTTTTTGATGATAGCCATCCTGACAGGTGTGAAGTGATATCTCACTGTTGTTTTGATTCACATTTCTCTAATAATTAGCAATGTTGAGCATCTTTTCATGTGTCTGTTAGCTATCTATATGTCTTCTTTGGAAAAATGCCTATTTAGGTCTTCTGTCTATTTTTTGATGGAGTTGTGTGGGTTTTTTTGTTTTTGTTTTGATGTTGAGTTGTATGAGCTGTTTATATATTTTTGGATATTAACCCCTTGTCAGTCATGTCATTTGCAAACATTTTCTCCCAGTCTATAGGTTGTCTCTTTGTTTTGTCAATAGTCTCCTTTGCAGTGCAAAAGCTTTTAAGTTTAATTAGGTCCCATTTATTTATTTTTGCTTTTATTTCTTTTGCCTTAGGGGACAGATCCAAAAAAATAATGCTGTGGTTTATGTCAAAGAGTGTTCTGCCTATGTTGTCTTCTGGGAGGTTTATGGTTTCAGGTCTTACAGTTAGGTCTTTAATCCATTTTGCGTTTATTTTTGTATATAGTGTGAGGAAATGTTCTAACTTCATTCTTTTACATGTAGCTGTCCAATTTTCCCAGCACCACTTATTGAAGAGACTGTCTTTTCTCTGTTGTATATTTTTGCCTCCTTTGTTGTAGATTAATTGACCATACATACATGGTTTACTTCTGGGCTCTCTATTTTGTTCCATTGATCTGTGTGTCTGTTTTTGTGCCAGTACTATACTGTTTTGATTACTGTAGCTTTGTAGTATAGTCTTAAGTCCGGGCGGGTGATACCTTCAGCTTTGTTCTTTTCTTCTCAAGATTGTTTTTATCTACAAAGTTCTCCGGAAGTTGTATTCTAAAGGGGCAAGTGCTCCTTCTGGTACAAAATAATTTTCTACAGTGTGTAATTAGAAATAAAAAGTTATTAAACAGATTTTTTTTAATGATTTTGTTTTGCAGATGTAAAGGACAAACTGCATCTGAAATGGATATGTTGGAGAGGTTGGGATGTAAGGAGCTAGATATTCATGTATCCTGCCAGACTGTGTAGACTGTTGGGTGTGGTGAGTGCTACATGTTTTATACTTAGACGTGAAGTCCATTGGTATGCCCAGACCAGATGTTACCAGAACATTCTCTTTCCTAATGCTGGCTAGTGACTAGAATGTTGCTTATGTGATAATTATAAGAGCCCCTGCTGAGCCCTCCCAGAAGGAGAGACACCGTACATTGTTTTAAACAATATAATTGAGGATGGGAGTTTGGCTGTATTTGGGAAGCCAGAAGCTCTCATGGGAGAAGCTGTGTAGTGCTACAACTTGATGAGGACTGCTTCTCAGGCTGAGCTTGGAGAGGCAGCAGATGGTCTGCCTGTGCTATATCAGGGTCAGTTACACTCTCAATCAGCTTTCAGAAAGAACTGAGCTGCCATTGATGTTAACTCTGCTATGATATCAGCTGCCTGAGCTGAGTTTTAATGATACATGCAAGGCATTTATCATGGAAATAGATTTCTACTCCACATCACTCTTAATAGTAGTGAGCTTTGAGCACTGGGAATTTTTGAGTACTTACCCTGTGCACTATAATAGGTATTTGTGGGTACAACACAACCTGATTTATATCTTACTGTAACCTTATGTGGAAGTACTATATTATCTCCATGTCACAGAAGGGAAAATGCTGAGGCTCAGAGATATTTAGTTTCTTGCTCACAGTCACAGGATAATTACATAGCAAATCTGTGTTTCCATCCCAAACCTGTCCAGCTCAAAAGCCTGAGCACCAGCCTCAAGATGAAACAGCTTTGGCTTCTCCTACAAGCTTCCTCACTTATTCACCCAGTTCATAAATATTTATTGAACCGGTACTGGGCTAAATGCTCAGAATAGAGCAGTAAATCAAAAAGACATGGTCTCTCTCAATATGAAAAATACGTGTTAACAGGGATGACTACAATTAAGTGAAAATTACATAAGTAACCATTTAAATGCATTTGTGACAAGGGCTATGATGAAAAGTGCAGGGTGCTCTAAAAGGATCGGGGAGGAGAATATGGTATCAGAGGTGTCCCTGAGAAGGAAGCACTTAAGCTGGGAGCTAAACCTAGGTAGACAGCCTGGAAACAAGGGCAGAGAGCATACCATGCAGAGGAGTAATGTGGGTACAGGCCCAGAGAGAGGAAATGGCTGGTGGAGAATCAGAAACCAGAAGAGGGAAGGCCAATGTCGCTGGATCAAACAGAGCCCGGCAGAGTGGTGAGAGAGGAACTCGAGGAAGCAAGCAGGGCTGCGCTCAGGGAGAGCCTAGACTCCACAAAAGTGGTAGAGAAAAGCACAGATCAGTTCCCTGACTATGCCTACTGTCATATTCTGGAAGGTTGAAAGCTGCTGAGGGTTCTGGTTTGCTTTTTAAAATAACTTTAAAAACATAATCATTGACAGTGCATTAACTCTTTGTGGCAAGGCATTTTACATAGGACTAGCCTGTTTTATCCTTCCTTATAGAAGTTCACGCAGAATCAAGTGCTCAAAATGTCATCAATAGTTGGGAAATCACTTAAGGCAGATTTTCCAGAATAGTGAGTTAAGAAACATAATTTGTAGTTTATTAAATAGACTGCATATACGAGCTATGCCACTTGGGATGATCAAATTACAAATAATTGGAATATAATTAAATACTTTAAAAATTAAAGCTATAGTAATGTAGCTTACTTTTCTCTGAGGCTTCCGGTCAAATGTAGCATCTTACTGGGTAGTCCATTGCATTATCTCCTTCAGCTTCTCCCAACTTCCCCCCAAAACCACAACTGATGGCATGAGAAAACAAAACCTATCAAATAAATGAAACATTTACCTGAAATTAAAACCACAGATTTCTGGAAATCTTGAAATCTGAAAACCCTCCAGTTAATAATTGTTCATTGAACATCTACTAGGTACTGCTTTCAGCACTTCACGTATTAAGCGCTTTCTATGCTTTATATCCTCCAGCAGCCGTGCCAGCTAGGACTTTTAAATTTAAATTTTAAATGAACTTAAATGCTGATAATTTAAGTAACTTGTCCAAGATCACACAGCTCATCAGGGATGGACCTGGACTCTGGAGCCTGTGCCTTTAACCACAAAGCCTCATGGCTTCTCCCCTTGAGAGACCCAAGGTGTCAGTGAAGATCCCCTAAACAGAGGCACCAAAGACTTTTTTTTCTGCCCCACTTGCTAATCTCACCTATTCTTAGTGAGTACTATTGTCACTGATCCCTAAATAAATGCTAACTTATTCTCTGGAGAGTCAGAGTTGTACACGTGTGAGCACCAACTATTGCTAACCGGCCTTTCCCTTTCCTTTCCTCCATCCTGCCATTTCTGGAAAGAGCTGGCTCACCCTCTTCTCTGAAGGGTTGCAGGCCAAATGTGGCCTGCAGGCTTCCCAGCTGAGGCTCAAGCACTACCCCACCAAGTGGCCTCGTTTCATATATAACATTTCTCTGTGCTGAGTCCAGATGCTGGGTAAATCCCGCATGTTCTCATAACACTGGGTCACCTTTTCTGCAGAGAATGGGACAGAGTATGTGGGGCTGAGTCCTGACTGGTCTCATCCAGTAGGTGAGGCAAGCTGGAGGATGCCAGGATGTTTCAGGTGTTGAGAGAAAGCTGGGCAGACAGAACACAAGATGGTTCCAGAGCGGAGATATCTTACTTAGGTGTATTCACGTCACAGGTGTTGTCCTGTAGGTATGCAAACGATCCTGCAAGGCGGGCCAGTTGAGGAAGAGAAGTGCAGTGTACCCCTGAGCTCTGGTCTGTGTTTTGTGCCCCAGCCCACACCTGAGATTCTGTAATGGCTGCACCGTTTCCTGACCTGGTCAGCGTTAACACCTGGGAAGTAAGTCAGACGAGTGCATGAACCATCATAATATAATGTTGTCTCTGTTACATGAGGGACATTCGGAGATGCAGAATTCGAATGAAAAAGTATTAACTCTCTGTGGGTAACTCCAGAAAACTTCCACAAAGGAAAGTATTGATATTAGAGGAGAGAGGGCTTTTTGTGGTCAGACTGATGGGGGAAGGCAGACACGGGGGAGAGAAAATGTTTTATAGATGTGAAAGGATATAACTTAGGGAGTTGAACAGACATGGTATTGTTGATATAAATTAATCTGTTGGTACAGGTAGTGTGAGATATTTTGTGGTGAGCCTTCCTTGTGGTCACTGCATATGTTCCTTGGATGACAAAGAGACATGGCTTATTAAGAGTACACAGGAGGCATGGACGTATATGCGCTACCAAATGTAAAATAGATAACTAGGGGGAAGCAGCCGCATAGCACAGGGACATCAGCTCGGTGCTTTGTGACCACCTACAGGGGTGGGATAGGGAGGGTGGGAGAGAGGGAGATGCAAGAGGGAAGAGATATGGGGACATATGTATATGTATAACTGATTCACTTTGTTATAAAGCAGAAACTGACACACCATTGTAAAGCAATTTATACTCTATAATAAAGATGTTAAAAAAAAAAAAAGAACACACAGGAGATCCTGAACCGCCAGAAAACTCGGGGTGTGGTCCTTTCCCCAGTATCCGCTCAGAGCCTTTTCTCTTCCCAGTCTCACGTGGTAGAAAACCAGGGATTATAAAGTCAAGAGATTATTAGCCTATGACCATGCTCATTCTTTAACAAGAAACAAAATTAACTTGATAGCATTCTTGTCAAGGATATATTCTTTCTAACTTGGGTTAATAGCATTCTCAGCCCCTTGGATGTGGTCACCTCAGTCTCCTTCACACCTCACCCAATGAGCTGCATTCTCGCCAAGGTTATTTGTGACTGCCTCATTGCTAAATCCAGGGATTCCTGTCAACCCTTATGGTACTGTGTGCTCTGCAGCCTTTGTCACTCTTAACACTTTCCATCTTTCTTTGAAATGATCCTGGCATTTTCCCTCCTTTGCCGTTCACGGCACTCTATCTCCAGGCTTTGTGGCAGATGCCTATCTGTTTGCATTTCTAGCACCCTTTTTTTTTTTTCCTCCTGAGAATAGTCCCTCCTTCTCCAAACCCCATCAACACAGTTGCAGTGGGAGCGATGTGGCTCTAGCCCAAGTGGGCTGGTCCAGTGGTGGGAGTCTGACCCAAGTGGGACCCATCATCATTCTTTGTATTGGAGAGAGAGCACAGGCACTGGGGGAAGCAGTTTTGGGGTGGCTTTGATAAATAGTCTCTCATTAGATATCTGAATTCCCAGATACAAATGGCAGGAACTGATGGCAGTAGAGAAATGGGCCCTTAATGATGCAATGAAAGATAGAGCAGACGCAGAGAGAGGAGAGACTGAGAAAAATAACTGCTGATGTTTGATACTTGGGCTTGCTCCTCATTGTGAGCCCTTGGTTTCTTATTCCCAGAGCTAGCAAAGGAGGGACAAGGGCGCTTTGAGTCAGGGCAGCATGGACAATGGGAAAAGCCTAGTGTCACTGCAGTGATGTCACCTAAGGATTTGTGGAGGAAATCCTTGAAGGTGAGTCGAGGTACTCTTTGCAGAAAAGGTAGAACGAACCCAAGGCAAATAGAAACAGCAGATGTCCTCCACAGAGGAGCCTTGCTCAGATCTTTTCTTTTTTGTAATATTAATCAATATGTTTATTGAGAGCCTAATCAAGAAGAAAACTTTTAATGAAGCTTTAGAACATTTGCAGACATATAAAATAAAGCTAATTAATATTCAGTTAAGGCAATAAATCTTTTAAAGAGGCTCATCCTTGTTGAGGACTGGCTCACCATTCAAAATGAAAGATGATTTATCACTCAGGTTCTATCTGAGTATTTCCATAAAATAAGACCATTCAGGTGATTTGTTCAACATTTTAAGTTGATTGATTTATACTTGTAGCCATAAAACAGCACTACGCCCTAAAGTTGGACTAAACCTACCGTGTAACGTAATTGTAAATCAGGGGCTCAAACTCCCAACACAGTCCAGTCAGCTGTGCCAAGAGATGACCTACTTAGCTTGCATGATATTTTTAAGAACTTTTGTATTTGAATTCCTTTAGTG